GCAAATCAACGCGGCCCCGAAAGTCGATAAGTGCTTTGCGGAAAAGTTCGTAAAAGTTCCGTCCACGTATGGTGAGATCATCAACAAGTTGGCAGATAAAACAGACAAATGGCATCAGCACATGTGGATCAAGCAACTGACCAAACGTGCGCAGGAGCTGGAAATTGCTACCTTCGATGGCGAACGATCGATCGTCGTTGTTACGGACTTTGCGAACCGCAACAAACTGCACGGGATCGCACAAACCACCAGCGAGATCAGCCCTGCCGTTGGATGCGCGGTCGCCATCGTGCTTTACAACCCAGGCGAGCAAGTGGACGGGCAAGAAAGGCCCGTTCAGACGGACGTCTGGCGCATCTTTAGCGGGGCCAAGGACTGTGCGCATTACAACGCTCTCCTAATAGAAGAGATTTTCGTGCACTACAGCGGCCAGGAACCACACAAGGAATCAAAATTGCAAATGCCAGAAGGAGGATGGGGAGAGCTTCGACATGATCGGCTGAGTCCGCCCACTATGAGCGCAATCGGGCGTGCATATTCCCGAGGCGCAGTGCCCGGCCTTAAAAAAATTACGGTGATTTCAGACGGAAAAACATCGACGTATAAGGGCGCACCTTCCTTTGGGTATCTCTATGGAATTACAGAAAAATACGACGTCGAGATCATGCAGATGTTTGGCGCAGCGCACCACATGAGCGGCCCGGTTGACGCATACGGTGCGCAGCCCGCAAGGTTGCGCATGAAGATGATCAGGTCAGACACGCTTCCATATTCAGTATACAGCGCANAGGGCATGGTTGATTTTTGTATGGAGTACATAAAACACCCAAGCCCCAGCCCTGCAGGTACGTGGTCATGCAACGGTTGTTACATATATGGGGGCTACAACGACGGCGCAGCGAAACACTCTGACACGGACGTACCAGGCTGGGCAACTGTAGACGAACTTAATGGAGGCATCGAATATGCTGCTCCGACTGCGCATTCAACCCAGCTGTATTGCGTTAGGATCAAAGCCCCGTGGACGCCAGAGCCGAAAGAACATCCCCTGGCGCACGTGGACTCCGAGCCGGATTCTGATGATTTGTTGTTTTGCACGGGCAAAAATGGCAAAAAGAAGATGTTCATTGAAACCAGATTCATAGCGTGCAGGTGCCTCCCATGCAGAAATCGCGAAAATCAGGGCACCATACTATCCGGCGAGCCAGTAGCCCCGCTCGAGTGTGATTATCAGCACTGTTGTGGCACTCCGCGGTACGCGCAAGTGCTAGGCCACAGAGCTACCACGCAAGCACAGAAAAACAAGGAGCAAATCAGGAAGACACAACACACACGCGAAAAAAAAGCAGCAAAGAAACGTAAAGACCGCAATTGAAGCACTACGAAACTACGCTTGAGCTGGCACCTGAAACTCCACTAGTCACGTTCCCAACCGACCTCGCTCGCCTATCCCCCAACCTACTTACATTTTTAGCGCATGCATCCTAGTCCTCCGAGCAAAATAGAACTAGCTTCAAAATCTCAACTCCGTTCGAATCAAGACACCGTCGCCCGGCTGCTTTAAAGGCAGCCACACCTACAAAAGTTCCATCACAACACACAACCATGAAAACGTACTTTGGGACATGTTTGAGACAAAGGTAACGTCCGGATGTGAACTCCACTTTTTTCCTGAGCATACTCTTCGGCACCTTCACTTTCATCGTGAGTATCACTTCTAGAAAGAACACAGATTATGGCGACATCATTGGCATTGTGTAAATCGAGATGCTCCTCAAAACATGCGTGTTCTGAAGACTGCCGGAGCACGTGCAAGTCCATGAGCGTCAAATGAAACCCGAGCACACGGACACGTTCTAGAATTGTGTGCAGTATTTGCCGCAGACATGGAAACAATTTCGATTCCCGCGCTCGCCCTGAGCTAAGATTAAAGGCAACTTGTCTGGGCATTCTCCTGACGTGAGCAGGAAACGCATCCGCATCCTCGTCTTGTAGCACACCGTACTCGAAGCCATGCCAAAATTGTTTTGTGCGAATCTCCACATTATCCCAGTTGCGCACAATCTCATCAGAAGCAGCACGAAGTGCACCAGGCTCCAGACCATAGGGAGCACCAACAAAGTCAAGGGAGCCACCGTAAGAACCGAATGGAGTCGGCCGCACCTCGAAATTACTTTGAGGAATGTAACGCAACGCGGTGGTCATTATGTTCACCGCATGCGCCGCGTTACCGTCGGTAAGCTTGTGCAAGAACCTGTGCAACTCACCCTCCATCGCGCGCAGCTCATCCGGCCCGACATCATCGCAAGCAGCGGCCGCGCGAGAAGCGCCTTGTGGCATGGCGTCACGCCCGGCACGGGGCGCCCTTCCGCAGCCCGCGGGGCCCCGAACGCCCCGGGCGGGCCGAGCTAGCACAGCGGGTGGGTCACGAAGCCCACCGGAGGTCCTCGGGCAGCGATTCCACGCTAAACGCCCACCATCGTCTAAGCCGCCCTAGACGATAGACTAACGCGTCCTTAGCGAATAAAGATTGCCGTGACTTCGGCGTCCTTTTGTGCAGTAAGAGGAGCAGTCGTCTACGCTAGGACAAAAATTCGCCGAATATAAAATATGGTCGCCGTTTTACAGGTTTCGTCCATACAGCTTTACGAAGCATGAGCCGAGCCAAGGAATCCGGCGGTACTTTTCTTTTACAACATGACGTCGGTGCCGCCGAGATCGGGCTGGCGTCGTCGTCGCGCCTCGACCCCCGGTCTGCCTGGCTGTAGCGGGTAGTCAGGCAGCGGAGGAAGCGGTTGTGTGGACGACAAAGCTCATCAGCTTCGCGCGGCCGTCAGACATGCCGAAGCGCAAGCGCGATAGCGACGTCGACACACCGTTCAAGGCGCGGGTCTCGCGCCACTTTCAGAGCCTCGGCGGTGCGGCCACGCGCGGCGCGGCGGCGGAAACGGCGCGTGAGTTCGGTATCGATGGAACGGACGGTTCCGCGCGCGTGAAGCTGTACGACACGCAGATTCGCGACGGGACGGCGCGGCGGAAGCGATCCAACTGCGGGCGCAAGTCGGAGTTCGACGACGAGATCGAGGAGCAGATCGTAGAGGCGTTTTACGAAGATGAAACCCAGACGTACCGCGAGGCCGCGGAGACGCTCGGCATGGCACAGTCGACGCTGCAAAACTACATGAAAAAGTTCATGGACTAACGGTGCCTCAATGATCGAACAGCCAACATCTGCCCCTGATATTATGCGCGCGCTCGGCGCGCGGCGCTCGCGCTCACGCTGCCCCCGGGCGCGCCGATGGTCGTCCGCATCGCCGAGACGGAGTACGGCGTCGACGAAGCCGTCGTCTTCGACGACCATCGCGCGCTGCCGTCGCTGCTCGCGGACTTCAGGGAACTCGACGTCGACTGGCTGTCGCTCGGCTTCGTCGGCTGCGCGTCGGCGGACTGCGCGGCGGCGGGCCTCCTTGCGGAACTGAGGCGCAGACGCGTGACCATCGCCGACGACGCGCGCGGGTTGATCGTGAAGATCGCGGCCGTGGGCGAGATCCTCGTGCCGCGCGACGCCCGCGGCTCCCCGCCGACGGAAGGCGACGTGTCGACGGCGCTCCGCGCCTGGGGCGTCGACGGCGCGCGCGACGTCGCGGCCGCCGCCGCCGCCGCCGCCGCCGCGCGGCCGCCGACGACCGCCGACGCGGCGCTCCCGCCCTGGCCCGTCGACCGCGCCGCCGCGGGCGAGGACCGGCCCATGCCCGGCTGCCGCGCCCCACGTGGAGAATTGCCGGCGCTACGTCGCCATGCAGCGCAAATTCTACGACCCCGCGGCGCAGGAGCTCGTATCCGGGAACCACGTCATCCACAACGACGCCGCGGAGTACTGGGGCATGATCCTGAAGCCCGTCGTGCGGGACCCGCGCGTCTGGCGGGGGAAGCGCGCCCTCGACGTCGCCTGCGGCGGCGGCCGCAACGTGGCGAACCTGCTGCGCCTCGCGGCCTGGGACCGCGTCGACGGCGCTGCGATTTGGTGGCGCGGCACGTCGAGGGCGCGCTCGCCTTCGTCGGCCGCGACGGCTGGGACCGGTCCAAGTTCCATGCATGGCAGTCGGCCGGCGCGGGGCTCGCGGCCGCCGACGGCCGGGCCCCCGCGCCCGTCGACGAGTACGACT